GAAGACATCCAAGTGCTACATTGTTCCCATTATCATTTAAGTTTTTACTGATTAAAAACGAAGCGTCAAAATTACTTTTGTCTCCAGATGCACCCAATCCTGTTCTTCACCGTTGCGGCGCTGTGCTCAACCCTGGGACGCGCCTACCCGACTGAACTCGCGACGTTGGAAAGGGGAATTCGGGGGACCGTCGAGCCTATTGACATCCATCGTAAGATCGTGTCGACCGTGGAGGACCAGGATGCCGCTGAGCTTCGATCTCGGAGATCTGATATTTTCGAGGATTCGACCGCCACAAAATTTGCATCTGGTGAAATGGTATTAAATGCTGTAATACGCACTTCAGGTGGAATTCCTGACGCTCCGCGCGGCTCTGACGAAACTACTACCGAAGATGATAATACCCGTTTCGCCAGATCCTTGAATCTTTTGAGTCCGCTGGAACCAATTGGCTTCCCTTTTCTCCAATGGACGCAGCAGCTGCTTAGCCAATTGTGGGGAAAGACTATTCGTCCTTCTAGCGCATCAATACAGTAATTTTTTAGACACTATACCAAAATTTAGTGACGGCTTGATTATGACGAATCAACCTATGTTCGCATGCATTTCTGATCAGCGCAGAAAGATGATCAATCAACAAGTATTAGTTTATGCATGTTCAGCAGGCTACATCCAATGTCTTTCAGCGTTCTATCACACTATCATATATATATATATAGCGGTTTCAGCGTTATTAGGCCGTAGGCCTGTCGCCGATTCTTAACATCGAAGAACATTCACAGCTTGTTGCGGTCTCGAACTCACAACTCACTGCTACAATTCTGCTGTGTTTAACCGCCCGGCCTCCTCGCCGATTCTGACCAGAAACTGGCGCACAGAGCTGGGATCGAACCCGCGCCTCTCTGCGCCAATCCTGGTACTCTGAACTTTAACCACTGGGCCACCCTGCCCCAGGGTGCCCAACCACTGCCCCATCATTATCATTCTGCTCCTGCATTTATCTGTTGTTTTCATTGCTTTTAAAATCTTGATAAACTTGCGATTTGAGCAATAAATTTTCTTCTGATATTTTTAAATTTAACAATAAATACAATCTATACAGCGGTTTCAGCGACAGTGGTTGTAATTTTTAAAATAAATATGTTCCAATAATTCGCCCGCAGTAAATTCTATCCACTTAGTGTCATCCTATCAAAATGATAATTATTTGATAATAACATCATCTTTCATATTAAATCGAATAGTTATTGTAAGGTTGTAAATTGAGGCTGAAAAGATGTCGAGCAATACAGTCTCTTGTCAGATGAACTATTTATTAAGTCAGCTCGAGATTCAACGTTGGTACTGCGAGCTTGGAGCAATACAGAAATCCAACCACAGGGTGTTAATTGGAAAATGAACGTTTAAAGCGATTATTTTCAAGCCCAATCCTATTAATATGTAAAATTTCCCGGCGGAATCCGAAACTGAACCTCCGAAAACTAGTCCTGCCCGAGTATCCAAACCAAGCAAAGACATGGCCAAATTTCGAGCTGTATCTCTATATACAATGTATGAAGAAGAAACAAATGCTGCCTGCATGAGTAAATATTCTCAAAGCATTATCGTTTTCATGTTACGCTCTACTCACTATGAAACTGCCGAATCATTCACAATAAAGCTCGTTAGAAAGAACAACTGAACGAGAGCTTAAGTGTAGACACTACTCACTAGACACAATGAAAATAATCACCAGTATTTACACGTAGCGACTTACGTGTTGCATTAGTGCTGCTATCTTTTTATCATTACGTACAAAAAGATACGTGTAGTGTAAGTACACTTAATTTTGGCATTATCAAAACTTGCGCACGCAAGACTCCCCTGAAAAGCTATTATCACAGCCATCTGGCTCAGTGACCAATCACAGGCTTTGGATTTGTTTACATTCTGTGAACTTCGAAGCCTTCTCTGATCAAGTAGTTGTTAATGCACCTTGTTGGCCCAGTTTATTTCTCCTGTGTTATGTCTGAGGCTAGTCATGTTTCAATTGTGGAGCCGAAAAAAGACGACCAAATTTCAGTAACGAAGAAGTCCTAGCGCTAGTAACTGAAGCTGTGGAGAGGCAAGACATTTTACTAGGTAGATTTGATGAAAATGTTACCGCCAAAACTAAAGCTGTACAGAGGCAAGCTGTTACTGATAAAGTGAATGCTGTAGCATCCGTGATAAGATATGTGGCTGAAGTTAGAAACATTTTTATGACCTTGGAGCAAACTTGAAAAAATGGCAACTGATAACCACTACAGTGGAAAAATTCTTGAGTGCATTTCTACTTTGATAATTCAATGCCCATTTCCATGATTCCATGGCTTCCATCAACAATATTTTTTGACCTTGCAGTTATAATGCAATATTTGCGTGCATTCTAATATAAACTACCCATTCTAAGTACTTATATTATTAGTCTGCTTATATCGCAAGTTCACAAGGAATTTAAAAGCAAAGAAAACGCCAAGAAAATTCACCATATCGATATTGAAAACGTTTCGGAGTCCATATTAGGTGAATGCGGGACGGCTTCAGTTAGCCGCTGGTCGATAAACCTTGTGATAGATAAGGCAGAACATTAGAGAAGCTTTATAAAGCGACGCCATCGCTGTCGCCCGGCGTCGAAAAGATCAAAAATAGCCGAGACGGCGGCAGAGGATGAAGCTGCAAAGGAGTGACTTTTCTGCGACTGATTATACTTTAAAATTTTTTGGATTCCAAGGATGAATGCAATATAAACGGATGAGAGGATAACTGCAGTGTTATCCTTAAATGAATAAAAATTACCTCGATCGGTACCATGATGCACATGGAATGGCCATAAACAGCGACTCCACTAACGAATTCAAATCGCAGCAAAATTTTTACGTTTTCTCGAAGTTAATCAACATGGCCTAGACTCTAAAAGAAGCGAGAATTCATCGACGTGCTTTGCAGCTACAAGAAGAAGAAGTTATAGCTGAAAACCAGCAAAGGGAAGCTGTGCTAGCAGAGAAAGATGTTATAGCTGTAACGGCCATCTCAGAAGCCAATGCAGAAAGGCTGCAGCTAGCCGCTGGTCGAAAAACCTTGCGATAGGTAAGACAGAACATTGAAGAAGCTTTATAGAACGATGCCATCGCTGTCTTCAAGCGTCGAAGAGATCAAAACTTGCTGAGACGTCTTCGACAAGAATATCCCGACCTATACGACTTTCCGTCGTATAGGTCGGAATATATCAAACTCCTATACTCGAGGCTAGTAGCGTGGACAGTTCAAGCGGCGGAAAACTAGCTGCTAGTACTATCCCTGTGTACAGGTACCTTTACGATCATCACGATTGTAGCATCTACTTGGAGGAAGTAGCTCGAAACTCGCTGCTGGCTGTGAAATTTCTAGTCAAAATCGGCAAAGTGGCCGGGCATTGTAGAATCTGCTTCAAGCCCAAATAGGGCAATCAAAGCTGACACCGCTATATTCATAGAATGCGCAATGACTCACCTCTTCAAGCTCCCGGATGTCACATAGACAGGGCCGTAGGTGCGGCTGTTAAATGAGCCACTGACATCTAGAGCAATTCTCGTCACTAATGATGACGACCAACACGTCTCCCTGGACACGTCTGCCATTATTTCACAACAGTGGTGACGGCAGTCACGAAGTAGAGGCCACTCAGGCCAGTAAAGACGATCTCGCTGGAGGTGTAGGCAAGGGACGTCTGGCTCAACTGGAATATTTCTGGTTTGCATTTAACGTCATGTCACGAATGTGATTCAAATTAATAAGAGTTTGGAGCCATTCAGTTTTTGTCCCTGTATGTATCATCCCGACCTCGTTTGGACCGACTAAAGAACGACTCACTGCTATTTTTAGAATGTGAGTCATTTTATTTAGAGAAAATGGTCCATTAATTTCTCTGAGTGAAACTCGTCGGAATTTGAGCGCGAAGAGTGGCCGCCATAAAGCCCCGTCCACACGCTCAAAATTTTCGCCAGTTTTGCATGTCATGCCAAAGTTTGACCGACAAGACGGAAGACTGACGAGCTTCCACACGTTCAAACTTCCCTTCAGTCTTGGGTGCTCACGGTAATGGAGGAGCTCGTGTTGTTCGCTGCAGTGATCACAGTTTGTTCCACCAAAATTAGTTTAGAGCGATGCATACGTACGCGGTGGTCCCGAATATGGTTTTAAAATAAATACCACAATGAGGGTTGATGGACAGCATCCCTATTTGCACGAGACAGCATTGACGACTTCATTTTGTCACATTCTTTTCGATAGAGTTTATTTTCTTCGTTACAAAGTTTTTGTTTGCTGAAAGATCAACTTCGTTGCACTTAGCAATCAATGGCCTTAGCAATCAAGAGGGGAAACTACGATATAATTCGATAAACTCACCAAAAGAAATCGTTAAACCAGTGTCGAATATCTTGAGATATGAAAAACTAGAGCTAGCGAGGAACAAATATNTTCTTAGCTTTATTTGAGTAAATATTTTGATTCCAGATAAAATAAAGTTTAGGGAAGAGTCATTCGTTTAACGAAATTTTATTGAAAGGTATTTAAACACTCGAAAAACAGGTTTAGAACATCAAAATATACGCCATAGCACTATTAACCGTACAAAATAATCTGTTCGTGAACAGCCAGGCAACCGGTTCCCAAAGCACTACTAAAACTTGTTAGTTTGAAGATAAGCTTTCGCTCTCGACTGCACACGTGCTCGACCACTACCAGAAGGACCGCTAGTCGGCGCAAGAGTACTATAAAAGATTGAAGTCAAGTCATTGAAGATTGGACTGTGAACAGTCTGAAGTCACTGCTACGGGCCGTTGGTGCCTGATGGCTACGGCTGCTGCTACAACCCACGCAGCGCCTCCATCGTCTTCGGCGTGTCAGCCCTCAACTCCTCCCCCGAGACACACTCCAGCACCTTCAGAGACGCTCTCGATGCCTCCCTCACCCAGATGAGGGAGCTCCTCGAACTTCCCGACGATGCCGCATTAAACATATTCACTTTTGTCACGTTGGGTCTTGAAGGAATTGCGGTGCTTGGTGCTTGTAATATAGAGGCGATGGAGACGAGAAATCTTGAGTCATCGAATTACGGCTCGTGGTCGTTAGAATGGCGGGAGCCGACACGATATTAGTCCATTAGGCCTTAGTTTAGCAAGAATTTAGAAAAAAATAAAGGACATAAATCCTTGCAATGCATGACTTAGCATGTTATCGAAGAGAAGGGAAAGCATTGTTACAATCTGTGGGTAAGAATCATATTCTTGTATGCCTTAATATTCTTGTTTGCTTTTTATAGTGGACGAAAAGTTCTTCCGTTAACTTTTTACGCTCTCGAAATATTTTTAAGCGTTTTGGAAAATAAGTTAATATATTTCAGAATAATATTGTACGATCGAACTTTTAGTTTTGATCCTTCAATTCTTTTATTTGCCTCTCTAAATTTTCAACTCTTTCTTCCGTCGCGCTGCAGCTATGTTTGATGACGGCCCTTTTGACCTCATTTTTTATCAATGTAGTACAATGTATTAGATTGTAAATGCCTTCTACCAAGTCGTCCATCGTCCTATAAAGATTTTCAATCTTGACCTCGACTTTCACCATTGTCATAATGGCCATGGTTGACACGCGGTTTCCTTCATTTTCTGAGAGCTCTATGATTTCATGGCAATGCTTTTGAAGCATGCCGGTGCTGCGTTTTCCATTTTTAATTACAAGGTCTACTATTTCTCCTAGTTTACCTTCATATTGTACATCATCCCTCATAATCCTACGTTTGCGTCTCTCATTATCCTCGCGTTTGCCGTCCGATGATCGGGATCCAGATTTCGCCATGTGACACGTTGGATCTGGTCGCATACCTAGAAACTGCTGCGGCTGGGCTGCAGGTCGCGGTGCGCGCACTTGTGGCTGAGGTCCAGCTGATCGCATTTTTGGTTGCTGAAATATTTATGAAAAATTATCTAATCTAATTATCTAAAATATCAATAGCGATAACTTTACAAAAATTCATACAATTTTAATACTACAATCGGGCACAATAACAATTTCAAAAAATTTGTGCACACAAATTTTCCTCTTATCATTTGTTAGCCTAGCTTGCAAATCAGCTACGGTAATAATTTAACGGCGTCGAAAACACCATGAAACTTTAAAATATTTAAATTAAAAAATGATAAATTTTCACACTAATCACTTTTACTAGGTAAATAGTTTAAAAATTTCTTCAGTCATGACGAATCCGTGCAGTATGCAATAGGTGAATTTATTTAGCATTTTATTTGGTTTTAAATTCTTCAAATTAACTTGAGTAGCAAGTTATTAAAGAATTAATGATTTATTATCCAACTAATTAGCCAATTAATGATATAAATATTTGAATAATGACAGTATCTTTGTTTGTGATCGCGTCCTAACCTCCCAGGCTAGTGAGGTTGGTCGCTGTGGGGGAGGCGTGTTCTCATACTCCCACTTGATCTGCAGCCACTCGATGAGCTTACGGAAGTCTTTTGTGTAACGCTCAAGCATCAAAATGGCTTCCTGTAAAAACGTGAGGTACGGTAATAAAAGAAAGTTACATGGTTAGTTTTTTCTTTCTCTATAGAAAACTAGAAACCCACCTAAAAATAGTGCAAGTGAATGTTCATTTATTTGCTAGTTAAGCAGACTGTCTCAGATCTTTACTTTTTACAAAAATTTGATTTCAATTTGATTCCTGCTTTGCAACAAGGGCCCTGGCTTGGCTGATGGAAAATTAGAGTTGAATTTGCCTGGCTAATAACAGGGCACTTTTGCCAGGTCTGACGATGAGGGTGGAAGCCGGTGCTTGACATGAGGTGTGCTTACAAATAATTACAATACGATACTAATAAAAAAAATCCTCATGTTATCTTGCATGCAAGAAACAGACCTGGGTCTAGAAAAACAGTAATTAATGTTGAACTAAGGCAAGAATAAAAGCAATGTACGAGAAGAAAATAATTGACATAATATACCTAAGCATATGTGAGATGTAATATGGTTTACTCACTGTGCATTCAATGACAGACTCGTCAGTCTCACAGGTCTGGTAAATCTGGTCAACAGCTTGCTGAAGGTTGCAAAAAAAGAACCCCCAGTGCTGAGCACGCAGGCCTGTCATGAACAAATAAAACCATCAAAAAGTACCTACTTGAAAACTTTTAAAGAACTGCTTGATAAAAAAATGTACTTGATGTTAACTATAAAACAATGAAGAATAAGTTAATAATCAAGATGACAAACAGGACAAATTTGTGGACACAATTTATAGGTACAGGATCTAATGTTTTCATGAAGAATGCATGTTATTATGTGTAATTGGGCATTAATTATATGACAATTTAATTAAACAAGATTGCAATCCTCACATTGATGAGGATTTCGTCCAGCTGAAACAGATCTTGATCGTTTCTCCTGCTTCGTGGAGCCTCTTCTAGAGAGAGAAGATTCTCCCATTCCAACATCTGTTAACAGCAAAGGCGTACGTGAGGCTTGAGAAGTTGGAGAAAGAGGAGCAACTAGATTCCGTGCTTCTCGACCCTCCTCCTGCAAGCGGGCCTTCACATGCTCCACGACTTCTTCCTGCATGTTTGAAAGATAGAATTACTACTACTACAGAAGTCGCAACACTGTTAAAATTAAACTTTCTCTAGTTAAAAAATACTTATTTTCATTGGAAACAGAATCAAATCAACATGAATATATTACAATGATGCCTTTGTATTATGAATTATTGTCTGAATATTTCAGTACTGAATTATTTAGGCAATGCATGTGTGTATATGTTTTAAGTTTTCAGTTTGTTTTGCCAAGATCACAGTTTTTAGTTTGATCAATATTTGCCTAGCAGTCCATTCTAGCAGTGAATTGTCTGTGGAGACATTTATAAAACTTGCATGGTAATAGAAGTTACCACCAGTAGACAAAAGCTTAGAAGTAGCAATGCTACTTAGTCTCATAAATGCAAATTTATGAGACTAAAGGTTCTAGGTCAGGAGATTAGAGCAATTGTTTACTCTGTACTAATCGAAGTTCAATTAATTAAAGATTTAGCGAAACAATTTTCGCTACTTTCTAGGAAAGGTATTTCGTCGAATCTTTAGAATAATAGGGAAGTCTTTCTAGAATGGTAACATAGGTAGATATGTAAATTTAAATCGCGAAGGAATTGAAGTAAATCTATGAAAAAACCTAAATAGAATGAAGTAAGAGATGCACTTGCCTTGTTCATGGTAACAACAGGAGTTTTGCCGATGGCAGGTTTGTTGGATGCGTTAACAGACGTCGGTGCTTCACTGATGTTTTTCTTCACTTCAGCGCCGTCTTTTTTAGCCTCAGTTTTGCTGCTCACAGCAACACGAGGTTCTGATTTGGTGACAGAGGTATTTCGGGTCTCTGATTTCGAGGGACATTTATTGTCAGTTTTGACAGCACTGTTTGCCTTCGATTTAGATGAAGAATTGATCTTGTTGATTGGTTCCTGCAAATAAAATGTTCATCATGCACATGAGAACCCGTAGAAAAATGTTTCATAAAATATCAATAGCGGTAACTTTACAAAAATTCATACAATTTTAATACTACAATCGGGCACAATAACAATTTCAAAAAATTTGTGCACACAAATTTTCCTCTTATCATTTGTTAGCCTAGCTTGCAAATCAGCTACGGTAATAATTTAACGGCGTCGAAAACACCATGAAACTTTAAAATATTTAAATTAAAAAATGATAAATTTTCACACTTGTAATTAAGTAGTGTTCAATATTCATTAGTGTTCTAATTCAAAGCCGTGTTGTATTCCAATACAGCTCACACAGCAAACAGAATTCGAACACGTGGATGACGGCATTATGTATCAGTAGAATTTGAAGCGCGTACAGAATACGTCTCACCACGTGCCGAATATTGCCATACACAGTGTCGGAATATAGGGATTTGGTACGTTTGCATTTTAAAAAAGGCTTTTAAATAAATATGGCAACATTTTGTGACGTTTCATCGTTGCTGGCGCGTAGTACGGTGTTTTGCGTGTCACATAAAGCAAACAGAACTCGAGTAATGCATACGGTTATTTTTTTATAGTTTTTCATTTCTCGATGCGTCCTTAATGTGTCGGAATATACCGCGTTTACCCTAGCATTGCCCCGCATTCATCTTTAAACAACTTTAGTAGGTACGTGCATAAACCTCGCGAAAACCAAAACAAAGCAATGAAATTTTGAAAAATGTCAGACCAGCTGTTTTGGTATCAACGCGCGGTGGGCGTCTTTTTCATCTCTACACTTAAAAAAAAACTTGAATTTGCAAACTTGAGTATGGAAACGAATAAATAAATCTTACTGAGAACCATATGATTGCTTTTTTCGAGAAGTGTTTATTGTTTACAAGCTCAACGGCATTTCTGGAGTGTTGCCATAAACTTCATTGAAAAAATGTTGTTTTCAGTTTTGCTTGCATAACAAAACATATATAGTCAATCAAATTGTTTTTTTTCTGTATGATGTCAAAATTTCAGGGTTCTGCAAGTATATGTTCAATTTGAAATATAACCCGGAAAAAAGACAATCGCAGCTGCCGTACGTCAGTCCCAGTGTCGTTGTGTGGTGAGTGCTAGGCTAGTCCTAGTACAGTGCACGGAGTGCAGCCTTATGCTAGTCACTAGTCAGTCCTTGTTACTAGTTAGCCTAGGGCTAGCTTTGGGTGTAATTTAAAATTCAAGGTTTTGATATTATTACGAGCAAAATATTATTGCTAAGTCAGTACTTAGTAGCTCCACTGCTAGTGCTAAAGTTTGAGTAGCCCTAGCCAAGGGCTAGGCTGGGGCTGGGCCTAGCTAGGGCAAGTGCTGGGTGGAATTTCAAGGGTTAAACATAGAGATCTACTGAATTATGGTATAATCTAGAGCAGAGTTGCAGTAGAGTGAAATTTGAGATGCAATATCAATATATCTTAGATAAAATTTGAATTATAAATTATAACTTAACTACAATAACTTATTGAAGTTATTGATTTAGACAAGGCAGCTGACAGAAAATTAGGAATATGATTAATTTAAATTGTTGTGGTGTTATGGCAGAATTTTGAAAAGATGTTATGTTACCAGTTTGGANATATTGATACTTTTTATTCATCCTCAATTGGACAACATGGAATCTCTATTTGATATCACGCGTATCCTATATAAACGGACCGTTTCTATATCTTTAAACATCGCTTCCACGAGCTCTTTGTGAAGTTGGAGTCAAGCGTATCACATCCATTTTGAAACGTCGGTCGAGGGCTTTAGAAGTATTTTTAGGATATTTTAACTGTGTTGGGCGACCGTAACTCAAACGTTTGAAGAAAGCTAAAATATTCATGGCGAGGACAGAGATCGCGCTCAGAGATCTCGCTCAAAGCCGCGAAAATATTTTTCTCTTAAAATACAACTTTGTTAGAACACAACTTCGCTTAAAACCACGTCGCTCTGAGAACAGGGTGAGAGTGAGTCCAAGTTACGATGCAGTTTTTGCCCCTGAGTGGGTCCCCCTGACACAGTTTGGCCCAGGCGAAAAATATATAACTCGGTACTCGCTGCAGTGAGTGACAGAGAGCGCATTTTCTCGTCGACGAAAACGTGAAGTCACGGACGGACAGACAGACAGACGGACGGACATGGCGCGCACAATAGTGCATATTTTCCATAAATGAGAAAATGCGCTAAAAAGTAAAATGCTATGATGGAAATATACTCAACTCGTCATCACTCTCATGAATAAACAAAAAATGTAAAGATTGAAATACTCTTAAATCGCTGCCAATGCTGTACATAAAAATGACTACCTATATCAGAAGAGCCTCACCTGTCAGTGTCAGGACCATGCCTGGCGATGACGAGCTTGAGGTGCGCCAGTCCCCCCACCGGAGCCCTCGCCGACCCCGTGGCAAACTGCAGCAGCTGCATCTGCTCGTCTGCCGTCATGCCGTTCACCACCTCCCAGAACCACGTGATGATGGGCGTCGTGCTGCTGTAGCCGTCGTACTCGGCGCTCTTCTCCAGCTGACTGAAGTCGTAACGCTGCACAATAACAGAACGAAAGTTATACTAATAAAGAGGGATGTACATAACTGCATGATAATACTAATAATACAATGAGGCATTGTGAGTAACTCGATTGAATGTATGGAAGATTTATTGAGATAAATGGCAATGTCATAAGGCTGCACAATAATTCAAGGGGCCTTGTAACGTCACGTGAATGTATCAATGATGAGATCAAAATGGCTTCGTTTTTGAATTGTTACAGGTGTTTTGAGGGAAGAAAAATCAGTTTGTCCAATAATTCACGTTCGTGTCTGAAGTAGCCATTTTCAGCAATACCTACAAGTTCTTGGAAGCAGAAGTTCGAGTTCATCAAGACTAAAGGGTTTCGTGAGCGGATATTTGTGTTTTGCGAGAGGTGCAGAGCAGAAGCTCGAGTTCGTCGCAGAAGTTTGAGTTCGTCAAGATGGACGAGCTTCGTGAACGGGTGTTACCTTTGAGCCGTAAAGCAGAAGTTCGAGTTCGTCGGGACGGAAGTGTTTTGTGAACGGGGATTCATGTTTCGTGAGAGGCGCAGAGCAGAAGCTAGAGTTCGTCAGGACGGAAGCATCGTGAGAGGGTATACGTGTTACCCGAGAGCTGCAGAGCAAAAGCTCGAGTTTGTCAGGACAGAAAACTTATGTGAGCGGGGATTCGTGTTACCTGAGAGCCGCAG